TGGCAAGCACAGCGGTGGTGGTAGTACCCTCTCCCACCTCCACAGCAGCGCTAAGGATGTCGGACTGCTGGCTTAGGCCCCAGGGGAAGCAGGCCTAAGCCATTAGTCAGATATCCCCCAAGGGCTCCCAGACTGTGAAAGGGCGCAGGGCTGAGGGGTCTCCCCAACACCCGCGTGCACGAATTTTGTGCACCGGGCCCCTAGTTGTAAATAATGCTGCAATGAAGGTGAGGTTGTAGATAGCTCTTCAAGATATAATTTAATTTCTTTCAAGTATAGAAGTGGACTTGCTGGGTCATATGGTAGTTCTATGTTTAAGGTTTCAAGGAACTTCCAAACTGGGTTCCATAGTGGCTACATCAACTTGCACTCCCACCAACAGTGCACAGGGGTTGCCTTTTCTCCACATCATGACCAGTGCCTGTTGTTTGGGTAGTTATTGAGGATAGCCCTCTGACAGGTGTGAGGTGATGTCTTCTTGTGGTTTTTACTTTATTTGCATTGTCTTCATGATCAGGGATATTGAGTAACAGGGTTTTGGTTACCAGAGGGAAGGGGGTGGGGATTGTAAAGGATAAAAGTGGTGAAATATATGGTTTTGGAAGATGATCTGACTTTGGGTGGTGGGTACATAATGCAACATACAGCTCATGGATCATAGAAATGTACACTTGAAACCCATGTGATCTTAGTAACCAACTAGAGGCCCAGTGCATGGAATTCATGCACTGGTGGGGGGTGTGGCCTGTGGGGATCATCCTGCTATGGGAGCACCACTCATCCTGGTCAGCCGATCAGCTGTGGACCCGCCAGCTGAGCTGTGCTCCCATTGTGGTAGCACACTGACCATCAGGAGAAAAGTTCCTGCGTTCAGCGTCTGCCCCCTGGTGGTCAGTGTGTATCATAGAGACTGGTTGACTGGTTGTTCCACCATTTGTTTGCTGGGCTTTTATGATATAGGATGTCACTCCAATAAATTTAACTTTTAAACAATGAATGAAAGAAATGAACCTTGTTTCAAGTGTTATAGGTTGTCAGTACTTACCTGCGAATTGGGACGTTTACATACAGAGAGGGCACAAGGAAATGAATGTGCCTCCCAACCCCCCTCCTTGCTTCAAAGAAATTGAATCAAATGGTATGGCCATGGTGCTGGAGTAGGTGCTCCTCCATTCTCTAATCATGTAAACGTACGTAGTTTTTATTTTTATTTTTCAATTACAGTTCAAGATTATATAGGTTTCCGGCGTACATCATAGTGGTTAGAAGATGAAGATGAAGGTGAGAAGGGAAGGCAGGGTGAGTGCCCTGACCCCTAGGGCCCCTACTGCCCCGAGAAAAGGCTCTGTGCTCACGGCCCCTCCTCAACCCATCTCAGGGTCAGGGGCTCTGGTAGCCCCTCGTGCTGCACATGGCACGTGTATCTCTGCTCCTCTCCAGGGGGCACCCCCACGGCCGCCCACTTCTGGAAGGTGCCGTCCCCCGCAGGCCTGGTCTCCACCAGCTCCATGTCCTGGGTCTGGTCCTCCCCATCACGCTGCCAGGTCAGGCTGATGTCCGCAGGGTAGAAACCCAGCGCCCAGCACCTCAGGGTGACCTCACGCTCAGAGACAGGGTGGTGGGTCACGTGAGCCTTTGGAGGGTCTGAGGGGAAGAGAGAAAATGCAAGAACTTTGCATCCGCCATGGGACATTCCAGCAGTGCCCATGTGACCATCCTGAGAGTAGACAGACACCTGGGGTGGGGGAGGGAGCACACAGCCCACACACCAGCCTGGACAGAGGCACCTGGAAGGACCTCCTAGTCTTTAGAACAGCCGTGGGCAAACTATGGCCCGCGGGCCGGACGGCCCCTTCGGCTGTTCTATCCGCCCGCGGAGCCAAAAGAGCGGAGGGTTCTCTGGCTCTCCCCTCCGCTCCTTCACCAGCAGCAGTGGTAACATGTATTAGTTCACACAAACACTCCATCCATGCTTTTGTTCTGGCCCTCCGGTCCAGTTTAAGAACCCATTGTGACTTTGAATTTATATTAGTTCACACAAACACTCCATCCATGCTTTTGTTCCGGCCCTCCGGTCCAGTTTAAGAACCCATTGTGGCCCTGAGTCAAAAAGTTTGCCCACTCCTGCTTTAGAAAGTTCTAGAATCAGAGAGACACAGCCCAGGGCAGGAGGCCACGTGACTCAGAAAAGCTGGGGTCAGGCCTCAGACACAGTAGGTGTGGGCAGCGCACAAGGCCTGAGAGATGGTCCCCGTGGCTCCCAGAGCCCCTGCAGGGCCCATGGGGACCGCAGATGGGCTATTTCAGGGGGGTCTCCCTGCACCCCAGGAGAGCCTGCACCCCTAACTGTCCCTGAGAGGAGGGGGGTGTCCCTCTGGTACCTGACCTGACATCCAGGGGGTTCCCTCCCTGATCCAAGGAGGGGTGTCTGACACTGACCCCCTGTCCTGTCTCCTTGTAGCAGCCCCAGGCCCGGGGAGAGGGGGCGGCCCCAGGTACCTGTGCGCTGCAGGGTCTCCTTCCCTTTCTCCAGGTGAATTTGGAGCCACTCCATGCACTCCCCCTCCAGGTAGCTCCTCACAAGCTCTGCCCCACCGGCCGCCTCCCACTTGCGCCTGGTGATCTGAGCCGCCATGTCGGCTGTGGTCCAGGAGGTCAGGTCCTCGTTCAGGGCGATGTAGTCGGCGCCGTCATACGCGTATTGCAGGTACCCGCGGAGGAGGCGCCCGTCGGGTCCCAGGTCGCAGCCAATCATCCTCTGGAAGGTGTGAGACCCTGACCCCGCCCCGCGGTCAGCCCCGCCTAGAGGGCAGCCGGCGGGAGCGCAGCCTTCCTCTTCACC